GCACTCTCTGTACCGACAATGGTGGCGAATACATTGCCTTTGCCACATTCCTTGCAACACACGGTATCTCACATCTTACAACTCCACCACACACACCCGAACACAATGGTATGTCCGAGAGACGTCATTGGCACATAGTGGAGACCAGACTAGCTCTTCTTACACATGCCTCAATGCCCGCCACATACTGGACGTACGCATTTTCCACAGCAACATACCTTATCAATCGCATGCCAACTAAAACACTTGCCATGGCTTCACCATACTCTCAGCTCTTCTCAATGGAACCGCATTACTCAAAAATCTGAGTGTTTGGTTGCTTATGCTACCCGTGGCTTCGTCCTTACACCTCTCACAAACTTGACCCTCGCTCCCTCCCATGTGTTTTCATTGGGTATTCTCTAACTCAATATGCTTATCTTTGTCTTCACTTACCAACATCACGCCTTTATATATCACGCCATGTTGAGTTTTGTGAGAACATTTTTCCTTTTTCGGCTTCACCTTCATCTTCCGCTCACCAGAATTAGTCGGAATCCTCTTGGGTTCCGACAGTGACTCCACTAGATACTGATTGCAGGTCACTCACGGTTCCTACGACATCTGGTGCACTCACGAGTTCAGATCCTTTGCCAACAAACACAACAACAGAAGCACCAGAACAAGGTGTCTTGACAACAATCGGGAAAAAGCTTGTTCGGGCACTCATTAATGGAGATTGGTTACGCTCCTTTCCTAAGTATTTTTCCAAGTTCGATGCTGGTGGAATTTCATATCATGCTAGATGTGTTATTCAGTTATCTGAAAATCGAGAGGAGGTGCGGAAACCTTTCAGATTTTTTAATTATCTGACAGAACACGAAGAATTTCTTCCTACAGTTGCTAAGTTATGAGAAAGCACATAATCACTCTATCATTCTCGAACCTCTTTGGGGAAGTTCCATAAAAAACTTAAGGCCTTAAAGTTTGAGATGAGACTATTGAACAAAAATCATTATGGTGATCTTCCTGCCCGTACCAAGCAAGCTTATGAGGTTATGTGTGACTGTAAGAATCAGGTTTTGAGGGACCCAAATATTATGACGTTTGCGTCAGCAGCAGTAGCATCTGAAAGGTGGAATAAGTTGGCTAGAATTGAGGAAAAAATTTACAAACAGAAATCTTGTATCTGTTGGTTAGCTGCAGGGGATCTGAATATAATTTTCTTTCACCGGTCTGTCCAATCCAGAACCTCTTGGAATGCTATCCGTCAACTTCTTACTGAAACTGGATAGACCTTAACAGATCATGCAGCTGTTTCTCGAGAAGCAGTACAACATTTCCAACGCTTCCTACAATCTCAAGATCAAGAGGTAGTTTATTTTCCAATTTCCAGATTGATAGAGTAACTTACTTACAGATGTGAGTCTAATGTAGCAGAAAGAATAGTTGCCCCAGTACTGCCCCAAGAGATACAAGAAGCAATTCACTCCCTTCCCGATGAAAAAGTTTCAGGTCCAGATGGCTATACCAAGGAATTCTATGTGGCTGCTTGGCCGATGATTGGAAGAGACTTTATAGTTGAAGTGAAGTCATTTTTGATGTATGGATTTCTGCCCACTGGAGTCAACACAACGATTCTCTCTCTCATTCCCAAAACAGAATCAGCTCAAACGATAAAGGAGTCTAGGCCAATTGCTTACTGCAACTTTTTGTATAAAGTTATTTCCAAGATTCTAGATTCTAGACTTAAGATAGTTCTTCCTAAAGCTATAGAGACTAATCAGTGTGCTTTCATCAAAGGTAGACTTCTGTTTGAAAATGTGCTCCTTCCTCTAGAGCTAGTCGATGGCTATCACAAAAAGAAGAATACAGACAGGTGTACTATTAAGTTTGATATATCGAAGGCATTCGATACAGTTTGATGGTCGTTTATCATTGATGTGCTGAGAGCTATGGGATTACCAGATCTTTTTATTCATTGGATCAACGTCTGTATCTCTACAGCATCCTTCTCTGTTTCAATTAATGGTAGCCTACAAGGGTTTTAAGTGCTAGAGGTATAAGACAAGGATGCTCCCTATCTCCCTATTTATATGTCATCATCAACAATGTGTTATCTAAGTTACTGAATCAAGCAGCTGGCGAAGGTTTATTTGGATACCACCCTCAGTGTCAAGGAGTTGGGCTTACACATTTGAGTTTTGCTGATGATATCTTAGTTTTTATCAATGGGACTGTAGACTCCTTGAGAGGGGTAATGCAGACTATGAAGAATTTTGTTGTCATGTCAGGATTGCATATTAATGCTTTGAAGTCATCCATGTACGCTTCAAGGCCTGGCACCTCAGTTGTATGTGATGAAGCAGCCAGTTTAGGAATTGCAGTAGGCAGCTTACCAATTCGCTACTTGGGGTTGTCGTTAACTACCAAGGCATTGACCAAACTAGACTACGAGCCGCTCATAGAAAAGATCAGAACTCGCATGTTATCCTGGACAAACAAGACTCTCTCTCTTTTGCAGGTCGACTGCAGCTTATCAAATCAGTTGTTCTAGCATTGTAAATTTTTGGAGTTCTGCTTTTATTTTACCCATGGGTTGTCTGGATGCTATCGAGAGTTTATGCAGTGCTTTCTTGTGGTCTGGCTCTCCTAATCAGTCTCATAAAGCTAAACTGAAATGAGATGACCTCTGATATCCTAAATCAGAAGGGGGTCTGGGCATCAGGAGGCTCCGTGATTCGGTCAGAGTTTTCACATTAAAACTGATCTGGATATTATTCATTGAGTCTAAATTGCTTTGGGTTTCTTGGATTCAACACTATCTTCTTCGGCACAGCTCATTTTGGGATGTACGAGATGATACAATGGGCTCTTGAATTTGGAGGAATCTTATTAAAATGAGAGACTTGGCTTATCAGTTCATACGGATCGAACTGGGGAATGGTAATCATGCTTTCTTCTGGCATGATGATTGGTTGCATATTGGTAAGATCATTGATATTACTGGAGAAATTGGCACATGCTATCTCGGGGTATTGCAAAATGCTAAAGTGAGTGATGCTGTCTCAGAGGGTCAATGGAGAATAAGAGGCCAAAGGAGTCATCATTTCCATGAGCTGCATCAAAAAATCCAGAATGAACCAGTTCTTAGTGTCTCACAGGAACCTGATAAATTCTTATGGAGGTCAGATGAAAGTATTTACAAAAACAGCTTCACAGCAGCAAATACTTGGGAGCAGCTTCGTTGCAAGCGAAGCGAAGTGAGCTGGAGCAGAAGTGTATGGTTCACGCAAGGGATTCCTAGGCATGCTTTTCTAGTTTGGCTTGCTATTCAGAATAAGATTTCAACGGGGGACATAATGAGAAAATGGAGAATCCAACAGAGATGTGTCCTATGTGGTGAAAGGGACGAGATTCGAGATCATTTGTTCTTTGCATGTCCATGCTCATATACTGTCTGGGACCGTCTAGCTAGCAGATTGGTAGGAAGGAGGATCAACCCGGACTGGCAGGACATGTTAAGCTTCATTCAAACAGGCACTTGATAAGTTAAATCTCATACTCATTCGATTGGTATTCCAAGTTGTAGTGTACCATGTCTAGCGAGAACATAACACACGAAGGCATCAGCAAGGCCATCAAGGAACAGAGCAAATGATCAAAACAATCAATAGAGGAACCAAGAACATGAGATGTTCCTATATTTTTTCAGATTAGGAAAAAAAAATCAATAACGGATGTTCCTATATTTTTTCAGATTATTTTTGTACAATTTACATTTGTTTTCTTTAATATAACAAGAGATCAATAGATTGGTAATTTAAGACCCCCAAAATCTTAGGACCGACCCTGGATATATTAGGTAGTTAGCATTAACAACTACACAAGTATGAAATTTTAATAAAGAGATTTGGAGATGTTGTTATTTTAAAATATGATTAATCTTTTATGAATAAAAAAATACTCAACTACGAGTCTAAGACAAACGAATAGAGGTTATAGTTTGTTTTCTTCATATCTGTCGTTGAATTAAGCTTACTTCTTATGCGTGTGTGTGTGGGGGGGGGGGGATGGGGGGTGATGTAATACTATATTTTGTACTAAAAAATTTCTTTTACTTTTATTTTGAATCTTGTACTAATTTTTATAAGAAATTATAGTGTCTATAAAATATGATACTATAATAATGTTTATTTTTATAGAACCAACAATAAGTTAATTCTTTAACAAACTTAATAGACTGACTAATTTTAAAATCTAGTTGTTCATAATAAATATTCTACTAATTTTATCATGATATATATATTTCAAATGCATTTAGATAATTTATAATCAATAAGTGGCTCCATTCTCTTCGATCCTTCTCAAGTCCATTTAAAGCAAAGCACATCCTTGGTTTTCTTTGGTCCATAAGTGTCTTGTCATATTTTATTAATATGTGAAATTCTAAAATAGACGACATTTTCAATCAACAGAAACAATATAAACATATATAGTTCGAGCAATTGTGTACCAATGTTCAAAACAAAACAAAAATGGTGTGTTTGTTAAGGTTTTCGTTTCATCCCAAACTATTATGTTACCTTTTATTTGTTTCATCTCTATTAAAGGCTTGCATCATAGTTGAACAGGGGAACCGAACATTAGGCGGATCTTTAGGTTCAGTTTGCATTGTAAGTTGAGAATGAACCAAACATAAATGTCTTTTCAAACCTGATTACATGTAAAATACTCTAAAATAGCCTGACATTTACAATCAGAAGAAAATATACATATTATATACAAACCAGTGATGAGGCCGTGAAGATGCAAACTTCATATCTAAGTAAATGATTCAAGAATAAAATATAGCAAATTTAACAGAACATAGCACAAGTTTTAAACGGCAACATAAAACAACACACACTCAAGGTCTCGTCTTTACACTAATGATGTTATCAAACTTACAACCACAGGAGATGGCATTTTAGCATAATTAAAATACGAAAGGATCTAAACAGAGATATGATTATGCTGCATCAAACCATGACAGCCACACATTTGACCATGTCTAACAGCTCATCCTCAATCACAACATCACAAGACTCCAGCTTACCCCAAATCTCTCCACCTTGGCGCATTTCCAAAGAAATCTCCGCAAAGCAAATGACATGTTTTTTAGGAAAGAAGAGAGCCAACTTCTTCTCACCGCACTTCACCACATTGGACCACTTTGATTGGGTAGTCTCAGCAGCCAAAAAGTCTTCCAAACCGTTGACAACACTCCAACCGCTCTTCTGCTTTGGATCAAAAGCCCTCAACGCCTTCCCGGAACAATCGTGATAGTACAAAACATCGTCAATCACACACGCACCCTCCCACCCCTTAGAATTCATCACCTCGTCCATAGATTCCCATTTCTTTTCCTCTGGTCCATAAACAACAGAATAACCATTCCTAAAACCTTTCATGTAAATCTTACCCTCCAACATCACAGAATCAGACCAAATGGCACCAACCCGCATGTCATGTTTTATCATCACCGGCAGCTCCCACGTTTGGGTTTCGGTATCAAGCACCATCACTGTTTTTACCCACAAAATCCCACGATCCCAAGTCAAACGGGAATCACCGATCAGGTAAACCTTCCCGTCGATGACATTAGCAAATTTACTAGGAATGGGAGACTTCGAGAAGCGCTGAGGCATGTCAGGGAGGGGCTGCACCGTGTGGGAGGTACAGTCAATGCTGAGGGCATCAACATCGTTAAACACATATGTCTTCGAACCCACGGCAACAAAGCTTCCACGGGGAGACACGGGAGGAATTGATCCGATAACCACCAAGCGGTTACTGCAGTTGACTTTCCTGTGGAGGATGCAGAACCGGCCTTCACCCGTTTTGCTGTTGCGGAGGACAGCATAGACACGGTGTTCTTTGCAGCCTAGCAGGGATCGTCTTTTGTAGAGCTTATGAGAGGCAATGAGTTTTCTGAATTTCTTGGAGACGAGGGAGAGTGTCGGGTAATGGCTTATGGGTACACGAGCCACGATATCAACGGTGAGGTCATCGGGGAGTACCGGAATCAGAGGAGATGGTGACAGCTCCAAGAATTGGTCCATTAATTCAGACATCTGAAACAGCTGTGGTTGAGTGAGTCAGGAAAACGACCTGAAGACAAAAATAAATATGTTATGGGTTAGCATAGCTTAGAAGACAAAAGAGTGCTCACTAAATCCAAGTTCAGATAGTTCAAGTTCAGACATTTAAGTTCTTCCAAGTTCAGACACCGTCAAGCTCGGAAATTCAAGTTAAGACAATTTCAAATTAAGACATTCCAGCTCAGACATTTCAAGACATCTACAAGCTCAGATATTTCAAGCTCATGTCATTCCAAGCAAGAATCACAAAGAGAAGACGAAAGAGTAAATTGCTAGGAAGCTGATTCCAAGTCAAGACAGAAGTAGTTAACCGAAGGCAAGAGTAAGTAACTAAGAAGCTGATTCTAAGACCACACATGACACAACAAGTAATGGGTAAGATTAGGGTTTACTCATAAACTAAGCAGACAGACGAAAGTTTCAATTTTTTATCTAATCATTGGTCATAAGATGATTGCGTCGGACCATTTATCATGCAAATTTCAACGATAATCCCCAAGAAGTTACACTCAGATTTAATTTCAACAACAAGAAGAAAACTAATCAAAAAAGATATAAGAGGAGAACATAAAAAATATATAAAGGGTTTGAGATTTTGCGGCAAACCAGCAAGTAGCAAGATTGAACTTAGGGAGGGTTTTCTCGAACAAAGAGCAAAAGGGACGAAGAGTTGTTGTAAGAGAAAATGCATGGAGGAGAGACTCTCTCTCCGAGGGCTCTATATAATTAACAAGCTAAACGTCGGCGTATACTTGTGGCCCATAATAAGTTATATACTGATACAAGGTCCATAGCCCAATAGTATAGCTTGGATTCTTGGCCTGTTAAATATATGGGTTTCACAAAGACCAAGTCACAACTTTTCTTGAATATTTAATTGAAGGAATCACCAAGAACTAAGAAAATTTCTAACATAATAAAAGACCAAATCGGACTCGAATTACAATAAGATAACACTTTTGGACTTGGTTTACAAATTACACTAAACCACTTGCGCGTTTTCGTGTAATTTCGAGGAAACAACACATCTCTCACGTAACTCTCCGGTTTCCACTATATAAAGCCTCTTCACCTCCTCTCCTCTGAAAACAGTCTCTCTTTCTCTCCTTCTTGTCTTAATCTCAAAGTACGAAACTATGGCCTCAAACTCCATCGTCGTTTTCCTCCTCCTCGGGCTCATAGTTTCCTCCGCCATAGCTCAGGCTCCGGGACCATCTCCGACAAGATCTCCTCTTCCAGCCACTCCTCCAATTTCTCAGCCTCCGAGAACCTCTGCACCAACTCCTTCACGCGCCACCACTCCTCCGCCGTCCATCACTCCCACAGCAGCTCCTACTTCTCCTCCTGCTGGCTCACCGACTTCCACCGTCGCTTCACCGCCCGCTCCTCCGACATCTCTTACACCTGATGGAGCTCCTGACGCAAATGCTCCTTCTGGCCCGGCTGGATCTACTCCCAACGACAACAACAACGCCGCTTCACTCTCCGCCGGATCTTTCCTAGGATTCCTATTAGTCGCCGCTTTGTTGCTTTAATTTGGTGTTCAGATTATGTATTAATAATTCGAGAGTTTAGATATTCGATCTGTGGTTTTTAATAGTTTGTTTAGAGATATATTTCTTGTTTTGTGATTATCTCTAATACCTTTAGAACACCTTATGTTATATCGTTTGTTATTATTACTCATGGGTTATTATTTTCGATACATTTATCTGGTTCTGAATATTGCATCCTGATTTGAATTATTGGTGATATACCGAATTCAAAATTGGTGGGTTAAGTTTAAACTTAATTAAAAGTGATTAGTGGCTTACTCATTGTTGAAAATGGTGATTAGTAGGTGATGACTTTGATATCAGCAACGTGTGCGTTTAGACAGGTGTCGTAGTGTCTAAAAACGGTGAAACTGTCGTTTATCGGTAGTGGCAATAACAGCTGGTTTGTTTCTGTTCGGTTCTCTCTTATTTCTAGCCCACTATATTATAAAATGAAACTAAAAATTAAAAGTCGGTTAAATCTAACGAAGTTTAAATGCTTATCGAAAGTTGAAACTGTAAAAGTGGATTAGAAAAGTCTTGGGTTTGGTTAGAAAGATAAGAGTAGGTGTCACATGGAGACAGCTGTAAGAATACTTGTAAGCTTTTTCTATGATTCTATTGGCTCACCCATGCGGGCTTCTGCGGAACCAATTTAGGTTAAGCGCGTGGTAACGAAAAGTTATTTGTAAGTTACACGAAAATGCGTTTCCTATAGAAGGTAGAAAAAGATAATAGAAATCGAAAAAGATTATATTTTTTTTTCTTTTCCCGTCATACTCTATTGTTCCTGTTAAAAGAAAAAAAGACTGGATGTCTGGATCGATAGAATTGTTGCATCCAATAGATGTGAATCCGATTCGCATTTGATGATTCCCTTCCCAATTTTACAACTCAGCCAAAAATGAAGACTACCACTCAATCAGTATAACTAGTGTAGCAGAGTTTAAACTGGAACGTAGGCCGTAGCCTATACATTAAAGTACAGAACAACCTTGTATCTAAAACAACACTTACTCGGAAATAAGTTAACTAACAATTTACCGTTTCTTTTTACAGTCTTTGTAAACAAAAATTGTTACAAAAGTGATGTAGTGTAAGTTTGACATTATTTTATTTTGTAATAGGGTAAAACCCGCCCTACAGATCGATAAACACGTTATAAGTAATTGAAAAGAATTCTAAATTCTAATAAATATTTGATATTTTCAATTATTTTTTGTGTTTAATTCGCACTAAGACTTTAACAAAATTGTGGGAGATATGAATATTAAAAATCAATAATGTATTTTAAGAATAACAACCGTATTGTATGAATAGTTTAATATAAATTCTCCTAAGTATCATTTTTTATTAAGGATAACCTGTTTAGGAACACACAAATTCATAAGTTTCGAGCTAATAGAATTAAATACAAAAAATACTTATTTACTAGAGTTGTATGATGATAGTTTTCATGTTTTATTAGAAGAGGTAAGAAAAGAATTCTAATTTGAATTGAAACTTCAGCGGCATGTTTTGTTATTTTTCTCTTATTTTCAGGGTTTTAAAGGTTTTCTTAAAATTAATAAAATATGATAAACTAAGTTTTGTTTTTGTCACTGAGATTTTTCTAACGCTTACATACAATATTACTTCTTCCATTTCACAACATTTTAAAATAAAAATATTAATATTAAAAAAAATGTTATTTTTACAACATAGTATTTAATTAATAAATTTACCTAATTATAAAAAATAGAAATTATTTGATTGGTCACATAATTTAATTTTTAATGAAGGACGGAAGGGGTAGTAAATAGTTCTAATGAAAACACATTATTTAGTTTTTTAGTTAATAAATACAGAACTTAAGAAGAAACTATAGTTTGTAAAAAAAATGATTATTAATAAAAGAGATCGAGTTATAAAACCGACATTTATTACTTTGTATTTGTAACTTTAAGAATTATTATTTTCCAATAAAAGAACTATAAATTTATTATTCTAAATAATCTAGAACCAGTTATTGTGGATTTTTATTATTTCTTTAATTAGATTTTAATTTAAATGTTAGTATTAAATAACTCTATTCAATAAAGTTAACAAAATATATGATCAGACGATTGTAAACCCATTTATATATTTCTTTATATTTGATCGACGTGTTATGTCGACCACTTGCAATGGCTCTATTCATGTCATGAATCTTATGAATTGTTTCGATTTCTTCATGCATACAACCGAGTCAAGAACTATTGAGGCCACAATACTATTTATTTATCTAATTTTCAGGTGTGATTCACTTTCATTATTAGCTGATGCCAAAGACGTTTTGGTTAATTAAAAATATCTGAGATATCTTTATAAGAAACCTGAGTAAAAATAATAAACGTTAGATGTTGAGATTTTGCGAGGAACTTATCAGTTATCCCATATATTTTTATTTATATATAATATTTTTTAGGGAAACATATTACAGTAAAATTACAGTAAATAGGTAAAAAAGTGGGATTTATTGAATGATCCCATAAAACTCCTTAATTAAAGATGAACCAACAAACAAATAAAAAATCAAAAGATTAATTAAGAACCATAATACATGTCATATCGAGAAGATATGAATTATTGACAAGGCACTCTCATATAAGAGAAAAACCTATTATATATATTATGATTTTTTACGGAACACTATATACGTTACATATGTTTATTTTTAGTGTTCTTAAAATCAAATTTATACTTTATATAAATATATAATAATAGTTTGATAAAAGTCAAAATAGGGTGATCCTTTCATTTCATCATCTATCGAATTTATTTATTTTTATTTATAAGCGAAATAGTGTAGTCCTTTTATTAACCTAAAAATTTCAGGATTTTAATCATAGAGAATTTGTCAAATAACTTGATTTTAAATGCAAAAGTGTATCCTAACTAAAATCAAATGCAAAAGTAATTCAAAAAGCTAGTGAAATTACAAAATCCCCTCATGACCAAACAGAAAAACAAGATTGTAGTTTACCATTATAATTTTGCAAGTGAGAAATTTTCAGGAAAGTCTTCTCATGCTGTAGATTTTAAAAACAATTAATAAATTTAATCAAAAGTATTTTGATTAGTAAAAAAATTCTAATCATGTAATTATTGACATTTATAAATGATGTAAATATAGATTTAATAAAAGTGACTAGTTTTCAGGATAGATAAGTGAATATAAGTTTGTCATGATATTCTCTGGTTTAGATTTTGGTAACTATATTGTAGTATTGTATGTGTTTTTAAGGTTAGATTATGAAATATTAACATTTTAAAAAAAATTAAAATTTAGCTATATGTGTTTAGTTTTGTGTAGATTAAACACTTTATAAGTTTAATTTAGGTTTGATAAAGTTTTTTTATGTGATTTAGTTATATATATATTTGATCTCTTTGATTTTAGTGTTTTGAAAGACTTATGAAAACTTAATAACCTAGGTTGCATGGAATCGGAAACGGATACGTGGAAACGAAACGTTTCGAAACGTGGAAACATGATTTTCAAAAAATTAGAAATGGAAACGTTTTAGAAACGTATATATATATATATATATATATATATATGTATGATTAATCAACATGTAAGCTTTTTTTTGTTTGATTTATCTAAGAGGAAATATTAAGTAATATAAGTATTTCTTTTTTGTACATTTTATTAAAATTATAATCAATAACTAGAAAAGTAACACATGTTATCATTCGATAAAAGTATGGATCGCGACTTCATTCCAATTCAAATCATTATACTAAAAAGATAACAAATATCAAAAGATAATATTAAAATATAAAATAATAAACATGTAATCATTAACATCAAATGTCAAATAGTTATTTTTATGTTTCTAATTAGAATCGCGAGTTTCCAAATTAGAAACACGAGTTTCCAAATCAGAAACACAAGTTTCTATCGTGTTTCCAAAATGAAATTTTCAAGAAACGTGTTTCCAAAGAGTTTCCTCAAGTTTCCAAGAGATTACGATTCCGAAACGTTTCCGAAACAGGAAACGGACCTTTAACGAAGTTTCCATGCAAATAAAGTTTTTTTATGTGATTTAGTTATATATATATTTGATCTCTTTGATTTTAGTGTTTTGAAAGACTTATGAAAACTTAATAACAGTTTTCCACTCAAAATTTAGGTTTCCCGCTTAAAATTCTAAAAAGATTTAGGTTTCCCACTTAAAATTAAGTTTTCCAATGTCTTCTAAAGTCTTCCAGAGAAAGTCTTCTAAAGGCTTCAAGAGAAAGTCTTCTAGTGTATTAGTTCTTAAAATAATTTATAAATTTCATAAAAAAATATTTTGATAGGGAAAAAATATAATCATCTAATTATAGACCTTTGTAAGTGATATAAATTTATATTTAATAAAATTGAATTGTTTTCGACATAAATGAGTGAATGTAAGTTAGTCATGATCTTTTTTGATTTAGGGTGTGGTTACTATGTTATAGTATTGTATATGTTTTTAAGGTTAGATTTCGAAATCATAATTTTTTAAAAACTAAATTTGACATATATGTTGAGATGAGGTGATTAAGAATGGTTACATTGATAGAGGGAGAGCATTGAGCAGACAATAACTTTGGAATTTCACCACAGTAACTTTGGTTTTACTGTTGTAACTAAGATAAAGGATTGGGAAGTTACCTTGCATCACTTTGGAGAGTTAACCACGTCCAAGAAGAAGTAAGGATAAGGAAGAAAATGCTTTAGCACTATTGCAAGCATGTGAGAAAGCATAGCCAAGTATTTCTAAAGGAGTTCCAGCCTGTCTATTGACTTCACATGCTTATGAATTTTGAAAACCCTTGTTCATCTCTCTCTATATACTTGTAAACCTCATCAGTTATTAATTAATGGAGTTTTGAGTCTCTCTCTCTTGTTTTTCGCCATTCTTTACTCTCTCTACAGAAATCATCTTATTCACTCATAATCTGTGACATACACTCACTAAAACACTAAACGAAACACCTCCAGAGGTCGAAGAAGAGGTTCAGCCTTTGCGGAGAAGCACAAGATTGAGGAAGGATCCTTCCAACTGGGTAAACACGAGAGTGTATTACAATGTCGTGTGTTCCTTTGCAGAGTATCGTGAAGAGCACATGGTGTTTATGAGTAGCTTGGATGAAAATGAGATACCAAGATCTTATGAAGAAGCTGTGCAAGATAAACAGTGGAGAGAATCAGTGGGTAATGAAAGGGATGCAATGATCAGAAATGAGACATGGTATGAAAGTGAGCTACCTAAGGGAAAGA